TGAATCATACTTGTAATATATCTTTGTACTCTCGCCCTTCTCTCACCCCAACCGGTCTGCCGGAGGTTTCTTCCTGTTAAAAGGGAGTTTTTCCTTCCTACTGTCGCCAAAGTGCGACATGACTGTCTCTGTACGTACTATTGTAGGGTCATTAGCATACAATATAAAGCGCCTAGAGGCAACTGTTGTGTTGATTTGGCGCTGTATAAATATAATGTAATTAAACTTTGTCTTGGGAAAAAAAGGAAAAGTAAATATTGTCAAATATATGACAAACTTAAAGGATTATTTCATGCTTTTTGCTCTTTAGTCCAAATTATGAGCCATCAAATGTACGCTTGGTGGACCTGTTGACGAGCAACTGTTTGATGAGGGTCAGCCATTATTTTTTAAATCAATCAATTTTTCATTTTTCATTATTGGGAAAAAAAAACTGGATTCTGAGTCTGCATTGTTATATTTTTTCTGCCATTCTTCATTTCGACAGCTCGGAGTGAGAGACCTGAGAATCAGAGGTGTTGCTGAGCGGCTGTTTCTCTACTGCGGTTTTAATCTGGCTGCCAAAACCACACTTGGCAGGCAGTCAGCACTGCCCAGCACGTCGCAGAGCTTTTATTCAGTTTGAGTCCTCTGAGTGTACTCATCAAGATGCTGCACAAGTTCTTAAATTTTGAACTACAACTCTTGCACTGCTGTCCTCAGCCTGTTTTTTTTTTCCATACAGTTTCTGTAAGCTAAAGATTTTTATTTTTAGAGACTGAAAAAATATGCTGCATCCTCTTCTATCAAGTAGATCAGCTTTTTTTATTGCTTTTTATTAGATTTTTTCAGACGGCTGACATGAAATGATGGGAATCAATACTCCCAAGGCCACACTTACCTATCATAGTGCGTTTCAAACGTGTGGTCCAGTGCAGGTTAAATTATGCTGAAGTTTCTCCAGAGCTGACCGAATATGACTGAAGGATCAGCCCCTCATCTGATCCTTCAGTCATATATAATAACTTCCTGTGTGCAGTAGGCACGGGGGCGGAGGCTGGACAATTTTATCGTCAGTCATTAGAAATGCTGGCAAAAAGGCCAAATTTAAAATGACAGTCAACTAGATTTAAAGCAGAACTTAGCAATTAAAAGCTTCACTGAGTTTAATTAAAAGCAATTTTAAAGTGCACTAAAAAATGTAAGCAGTACTTCTGCAAACTGTTTAAACAACAGTGAATCAAAACTTCTACAGTATGTCTGAGTTTAGGATAATGAATCACTGATTGGGTGCCTCGAGCAGCGGTCCAGAGACTCTGTTTCCTCCTGAAAGAACTTCACTCATCCACTGCTAATTATGTATAAACAATCATCCCATCTCTGTCCCAGTGTGTCCCACTAGAGAGCCACTCAGAAGAAACCAGTAAAACTCTGAGCTCAGTTTTAAACTTGGAGCTGTTTTCAAATGTCTGTTCACTGTTTTTCCATAAAAAACAAATATTCATTCCTTTTGAGATAAAAACTTAACGTGAGGCTGGTTTTTCATCATTTTTATTCACATTTTTAGTGACTCCGTGAAAGGATATGATTTTAACAAAGCAGATACACACAAAGAGGATCTTACCTGGCCGTCTCCTTCCACTCCATCTCCTGTCCGTCCACCGACAGGAGCTCATCCAACTCAGTGAAGAGCTGTGGGGGTGCCGGGCCATCGTCGTCCTCACCTAGGATGAAACGAATCCTCTCTGCTGCTGGTGAGACTGTGGAGAGAGGAAAGATACTGAGGTTCATAGGCTGGCAGTGGTGCCCGTTGGGCAAGGGCTTGGGCACTGGCTTTTCGTCCTCAGCTGGACTCTTCACATTGACCTCAGTAGGAGGTGGAAGCAGCGCAGTGTTCACTGTGACCTCCTCTCTTTTATCTTCAGCGTCCTCTTCTTTTTCCTCCTTCTCTTCTTGATTATTGTTGTTGTTGGACATCTTTAAAATCTGACCCCCCTTTGCTCTCCAAGTCAGCTGACACAGCGTTTGCTTAACAGACTG